CTAAAGTGTTTGAACTCCAAAGAAAACACATGGTACCATTATGAAAAGAAGAAAGAATGGAAACCAAGAAATCATGATACATGTCTACTTCTTATATATTGAACTAACTTTGAGTTAATTCATCTTTATAATAGCTACAATAATATAGTAAAGGGGTAATGCAAAGAGCAAATTATATATCACATATGACTATCCCTCAGATTTGTAACATACCATGCAAAGGTTGTTATTCTTGCATGTGCATGTATTATGCAACATGACTTTCCTTTGTTTATTTGCTGGTATCTACCCACACTTATAGTAGGTGCTTTTCTATCTAGCATTCCTCTTAAATTGTGCTGAGAGTAATGACTGGGTAGGATGTCAGTGTCATGTGTGAGCTGAGTGTTGGCTTCTATCCAGAGTTCTTTTTTTTTTTTTTTTTTGGTTTTTCGAGACAGGGTTTCTCTGTGTAGCTTTGGAGCTGTAACTAGCTCTTCTAGACCAGGCTGGTCTGGAACTCACAGAGATACGCTTGTTTCTGCCTCCCGAGTGCTGGGACTAAAGGCGCGCACCACCACCACCACCACCCGTTATCCAGAGTTCTTAAGTCAGAGCCCAGGGAACTTGTTAATAACTTCTCCAAGCTCCTTGAAGCTGGAAGTTTGATCTAATGGTCTATAACTGAGTCTCATTTCCTTCACTAACTTCAGTTAGATATCTAGGGAGTCAAATTCTCTGGGTTACAATGTTTTTGCCTGAAAAAAAAAAACATAGGAGTGGTGGCTCATGTCTTTAATCTCAGCACTTGGGAGGCAGTTGCAGGTGGATCTCTGTGAGTGCGAGGCCAGCATGGTCTACAAAATAAGTTCCAGGACAGCTGGGGCTGTTACAGAGAGAAACCCTGTCTTGGAAAGAAAAGAAAGAAAGAAAGAAAGAAAGAAAGAAAGAAAGAAAGAAACAAACAAACAAACAAACAAACAGAACTCCAGCTTAGAGTTGTGGTAATATTAAATAAGATCATTGATATAAAGCCTTAGCCTAGGAAAAGATTTCAAGCTCAAATGTAAGTTCAAATTTCCTTTTTTTAATTAAATTTTTACCATGTTTGTTTTTTAATTTTATAAATAATAAAATAATTATTATAAAATATTATTTTATGTGGATAAGTATTTTTATTGCATGTATTTTTTTTTACCATGTACATACCTAGTATCTGTGGAGGCCAGAAGAGAACAATGTATTTCCTGGAACTGGAGTTACAAACAGCTGTGAGCCACCATCTGGGTTCTGGGAATCAAACTTGGGTTCTCTGGGAGAGCAGCCCAGGCTATAAAACTCTGAGCCATCCCTTCAGCTCCAGTTCCAATTTCTTTATTGAACATACACTAACTGGGCATGGTGGCAGTACTGGGGAGGCAGAGGCAAGAAGATCAGAGGTTCATGGCCAGCCTTGACTGCATGAGACCCTATCTGAAAATACCAACCCTAAACAATAAAATAGTAAAAATCACTTTTCTTTCTGCTGTCTCATAACTAACATGAAGGCTTTTGTCAACACTCATGTACATTAATCTTGTTTCCTTGGAAAATAACTATTGTCAGAGAATGCCCTGTGTGTTTAGAATTTAGACCAGGAACATTTGCTAGCAGGACATGGTCTCCTGAGAGAAATCCTGTTCCTTATTGGCAACTGGAGTTAATAATTATACTGCTTCTGACACAGGAAGGATTTAGACTCAGATTAAACTGAAGACAGTGTATACCTACTGGGTTTTCTGGAATAGGGATAAACTATAAACCTCTAAGGAGGACACCACAAATTCTGTAAAATAGCCTCATTTTACAGATAGGGAAGTGGAAAGTGAGAAATGAGTTGACTTGATTGATGTAGGTAACAAAGCTCATCTAGAGATGGCAGACAGGTCAGGTAGCAGGGTGCTTGCCTGGTACACAGGAAATCCTCAGCGATGAAGAGAGAGAAGGGAGGCAGTCCAATGTAAGAATGTTAAAATGGGCATTGGGGTCAGATGGACATAAATTTGGGTTCTAGCATGGACATTTACTAGACCCTGAACTTTGGTCTAGTGACCTAATTTTTAAAATTTCAATTTCTATATGTATTGAGTGGGGAATTATGTTATCTGCTGCACACAGATGTGAGGTTTCGTTTGGAGCACATGATTGGTACTCTATAGACAGTCAGCTACTTAAGAAACCATATGCTAAGAGGCCAGAAGCATCTGTAGTGCTGTCTCTAGGAAGCTCCTGTCCACTGAGCTCCTTCAAAGCAGCTTGCTGTATATTCAACAGCTTATTCTCATAACCCCTTTGCGATGATTCAAAATGAAGGTACCAGGAAGAAAAGGAGGCAGCAAGATACATAGGAGTGGAGAGACCTGACATCTAGTCGGGGCTCTTCTTGGTGTGTGTGTGTGTGTGTGTGTGTGTGTGTGTGTGTGTGTGTCTTGCTCTTTAGAAACATTGTGTAACGATGCAGGGTTACAATTTGTGTTTACTGCCGGGTGGTACTGCCTGGAGGTATTGGCCCAAGCCTTTAATCCCAGCACTCGGGAGGCAGAGGCAGGCAGATCTCTGTGAGTTCGAGGCCAGCCTGGTCTTCAAAGAGAGTTCCAGGATAGTCTCCAAACCCTCAGAGAAACCCTGTCTCAAAAAAAAAACAAAAAACAAACAAACAAAAAAACAATTTGTGTTTACTATTGGTCCTAAGAGTGAAATGGACTCAGAGATGCACTGAATTCTGCTCCAGAGTTCAGTTTTGAGGGAACATGGATGGGCCTTAGGTGAGGCTGGGTTAATAAGTTGCTGCTGTTGTAGCTGCAGCTGAAACTGATGCTCAAATATCAGTTCCCGGTGCCCGCACACTTCCCATTCTTGTGAAAAGCAGGGCTCTGCAGATGATCTCCACCCACATCCTGCCAGAAAACAGCTGCTTGGCCTGGGCCTGAACCCACAGGCAAGTACCCCATGGGCTTGCCAATGACCTACAAATGCATTCTGGCTCCTTGAAAATGAGCTGGGCAAATCAATATTTCTCCCTCAGGAATCTGAATCAGGAAACATGAAACAACTGAGGCAATTAGCAGCAATAAAAAACACAGCTAATAGAATGTAAAGAGAGGGACTATGAGGTGGAGCAACAGTATACATGGGAGGAGATAGAATCTAGGCTATGACAGAATAAAGTGGTCAGGGTTCAGAAACTGTGAGTAAACAGAAGCTATGAAATGGAAAAAGACAGTGTATGTTTATGAAACAAATGCTAGAGTTCCTTCTGTAACAGCAAATGGTGTTGGCCTCTGATACATAAGAGTAATTTGAGGCCAGCCTGGTCCATGGAGCTAGTTCCAAGACAGCCAAGACTAAACAGAGAAACCCTGTCTGGAAAAACAAACAAACAAACAAACAAACAAACAAACAAAAAGAGTGATTCAGATATAGCATTTGTCTCCTAGCACTTAATTTTGGTGGGGAAGAAAAACAAGGCAAGGAAACAAATAAATAATTGCAAATTGCTATGGGCTAAGAAAATAAATACAGGACTAAGACAACCTACTAGGAAGGGACCCAATTAAGGAACAGCCAGGGAAGGCTAGTGGGATGGATCAACTGGGAAAGGTTCTGGCCACCATGCTGGAAGACCTGTGTTTGAGTTTCATCCCCAGAATCCACAAGCTGGAAGAAGAGAACCAACTCCTGAAAGTTGTCCTCTACTCCCAGACTCATACCTGTGGCACTTGAGTTCACTCTTCCTGATAAATAAATAAAGGTTAAAAACAAACATTTTAAAAAAGAAATAGCAAAGGAAGGAAAGCCTCTTTGAGTAGAAACTAAAATGAGGTCTGAGGACAAGAGGGAACCAGCCACATGATGATCAAGGAGAGGAATATTTGAGAGAGAACATATAGTGGCCGTAGGCAGAAAAAAAGCTGGGAGGGAAGGACACATGCGAAGAACAGAGGGAAGGAAAGAAGAGGTGAGTTTGGAGGGGTCACTAGGAAGCATGTCACACAGGATTTTGGTAAGAAATTGAGAGTTTAGTTAGGGTATAATGAGAAGCCATCAAAATATTTGAGACTGGTCAGTGACCTGACCAATATGGTGTGGTAAATAATCTTAAAGGCTAAGGAACTGGACCAGCACGATACTGGGCTCTGTGGATAAAGGTGCTTGCTGAGGAAGGCTGCCAACTTGAGTTCCATCCTTGGGACCAATGTAAAAGTGGAAGAACCAGATCCATAAAGTTGTCTTCTGATCTAAACACACACACACACACACACACACACACACACACACACTATAGCATAGTAAATTTGGGGCCAACCAGGACTATATAGTGAGAACTTGTCAAAAAAGAATATGTATCTTTTAAAAAATATTTATTTATTTTATGTATATGAGTGACCTGTCTTCATGCACACTGGAAGAGGGAATCAGATCCTATTATAGATGGTTGTGAGCTATCATGTGGTTACTGGGAATTGAACTCAAGACCTCTTGAAGAGGAGCCAGTACTCTTAAACACTGAGCCATTTATCCAGCCCCAAGAATATCTTGAAACTGAGTATCAACAGAAACAAATAAACTTAAGTACATGATACAATGGCTTTGAAGGGAAGGAAGACCAATCCATGTTTTTTTGTCTTTTGTTTTTTGTTTTTTGCTTTTTTATGCAGTACTTTCAATATATACACACCTGTACTCTAAAAACAAAGCAAAACTGCCAACAAATCCTGAACCCTATTTAGTGAGTTATTTTGGTAACTGAATCAATGCAGCATTTCTGAAACTTATTTTGTGTGTTACAACATTGAGTAAACAAAGAAAAACATTGGTGTTGTTGGGAGCCAGAGTTGTCCCTGCGGGAAAAGAAAGATGAAAAAAACAAAACAAAACAAAACAAAACAAAAACACCACCACCACCACCATCAAAAAAACTCTAAGGGGCTTAGAATTAGAAGTACCAGTAATACATTCATGATTAAACACAGTTAACTAAATTAAATTGCCATTTCACCCCCAGTTTTGTTTATTAAAAGGGCCTAGAAGCAATTATACATTCAGTAGTGATGAGCATATCTGGTACCCAGATCTTGGTTTCTAAACATCCATTCCCTACCATACAGGAAGTTCTTGGAGAAATGACTGATACTGACTTTCAGAAATAGGCAGTGAAAGTACAAGATGAATCTGGGGACAACTTATTAAGAAAGCAAGGAGTTGCTGTATCAAAAGGATACAGAAGGCAGCTTGAAGGATTTTTTCACTACTCAGCATTGGGACAAGTTCAATAATAAAAAATGCAGTGAAACTGATAGATTATAACCTAGTAAATAAAGAAAGAGTCCACAATTTATACTGATGACAGTATATAAACATAAAAAAATGAGAAAATGGATGGGGAGGCATGGTGCTACACTCTGCAGATGAAGGCTGGAGAGCCGAGACTTGAAGGTCATCCTTGGCTATGTTGTACATTTGAAGCCAGCCAGGGCCCCATGAAATGTGAGGGTAGGGGAGAAAGGAAACTATCTTACTTATAGTAAAATGCCACCTAAAATTGTAAATGAAAAGACAAAATTATAAAGTTTCTGTTACCCAGATGTGGTGGTGCAATCGAAGCACTTGAAAACCAACCATACTTAGGCAGTATTACTGACTGCTCCCCCTCTCAAAAGAAAATATTCATCCAATTACACAAAATCGAGAGACAAACTCCAGTAGGGTTTTCTGACACCGGGCAAGTATGGGGGTGTGGCGGTGCTTGCCTATAATCTCAGCATTTGGGAGACAGGGGCAGGACAATTGAAAGCTCAAGGTAACACTGTCTCAAAGACACAAAAGTTGATACAATTTGAAAATGTGACTCATGAATAATAATGGAAGACTGAAGACTTACTCTATATAAAGACCTACTGAAAGAAGACTGAGGCGTCACTGTTTAAATGCTATGCACGATGTGGGTTGGGCACTCAATCAGAGACTAGGTGAGGTTTGGACTGCTAATAGAACATTAGTGGGCCAATTAGTAAACTTTGAATAAGTGTTTTAGCTTGTTTGTCTGTTGCTGTGACAAAAGACCAACTAAAAACAGCGTGGGGGAGGAAGTGGTCTGCTTCAGCTTACAGGTCACACAGCCCATTACTGAGGGAACTCAGGGCAGGAGTGTGAGACAGGGACCTGAAGCAGACACCACGAAGGAGATGTGCTTTTTGGCTCTCTTTCTCTCCTTTTCTCAGCTAATGTTCAAAAACTTAAAAACAAGTTAAACGTTTTCCTATTCCAAGAGGGAAAAACCAGGCACAATCAGATCAAAGCAAACCCAAAATGCAACAGTGAAAACTACTTAGCCTCTAACATCTGGGAGTCAACTCGAGATTTTTTGGGCCTCAAAGATCTTGGGCAGTCCTAGTTCTTCAGCTCTGACATCAGCAGCACACATAGCTTGTCTTGTAGGCTCAGACTTGCTCCAAGCCTGCTGCTATCCTGGGCCAGGGGTGTCATCCTATGGTCCTTTGACTACTGCCTTCCCTGCTCTCTTCAGGGATTCTGACACTTCTGCTTCCTGATGTCAGGCTCCAACTTCTCTCCATGACCTCCCCCGAGCCCAGGCCAGGAGTTCTCACTGCAACTGAGGATGCACCTTTACCGGTGGCCTCTCCTGGCCTCTTTCACTGATATTGAGACCCTGTCTCACAGTAACAAGCCTCAGCTGCTCTCCATTAACCCTTCATGCTTTCAAAGCGAGTACCATGCGGGTAACTCTTACACATTGTTTTCCAAGTTCTACTGCAAGCTTGATATGCAGCCTTGGTCCCCAACTAGACCCGAGATTCTGTGTTACCATGAGGAAATACTTCCTAGAAGATTTCACTTCAGTGATGCTTATTAATCACAGATGATTTTCCAGCCCCAGCTTACTAGCATCCATTGTCCCTTTAAAGGAAAGGTTTCACTTCTAGTTTTTTTTTTTTTTTTTTTTTTTTTTTTTTTTTTTTGGACATGGTCTGTCTATGTAGCCCCAACTGGAACTCACAGAGATCTGCCTGCCCCTGTCTTCTGCTGAGAGCATAGACTTGCACCACTATGCCCAGCTGATTCCACAGCTTCTTAACTCAAATATATCACATGAACATGCATGATAAAATCTCTGGGGCAGTCTCAAACTTCCCTCCAAAATTTCACAAACCAGGTCTCCATCATCTGCTTTTCCTTTGACATTCTTACTTTCCATGGCTTTTCCAGACCAAAAATCCTTTCACAATCTTTCTTCAGAACAACATGGTTGGGTCCATCACAGCAAGATCCCACTCTCTAGAACCAGTTTTTGTCCTTGTTTGGTTTCTTTTGCTGTGATAAATGCTATGATGACCAAAAATCAACTTGTAGGTGGAAAGTGTTTACTTCAGCTTACAGGTCACAGTCCATCACAGAGGGAACTCAGGGCTGGAGTGCAAGGCAGGAACCTGAAGCAGAGACAGACACAGTGACCACCAAGGAAAGGTACTTACCGGCTTGATTTTTACCAGTTTGCTTTTCCTTGGCTTGCTCAGCTACCCTTCTCATGTAGCTCAAGCCCATCTGCTTAGAGATAGGGCTGAGTATAGTCCCCTCCCCACATCAATCAGCAATAAAGGAAATACTCCCACAGACTTACCCACAGGCCAGTCTGATGGAGGCAATTCTTCAACAGAGATTCCCTCTTCCCAGGTATGTGTAGGTTTATGCCAAGTTGACAAAAACTAGGCAGTACAATAAGGCTGTGCATCATTGTAACCATTTTAAATTTTCTGAATTTGATCATAATTTTAGGTGGTTCTATAGACATATGAAAGTCTTTGTTCTTAGAAAATACAAACTGAAAAAAAGAGACAAATAGGAATGAGGATATGGGTCAGTTGGTACAGTGTTTGCTTAGCATGCACAAAGCTCTGTGAATTATCCTCAGCACTGCATTAAATGGTGTGTACTGGGCATCCCAATATTCTAGAGATGGAGGAAGGAGGATCAGAGCTTCAAAGCCATCTTCAGCAACATAGCAAGTTCAAGGGCCACTCTGGACTACAGTAGACCCTGCCTGGAACAAACAAAATAAAAAACACAGCAACAAAAAGAGAATACACACTGAGGGCTGGAGTGCAACTCAGTAGCAGAATGCTTGCCAGCAAGCACAAAGCCCTGGGTTCAATTCCCAGCATCACCACAACAAAGAGAGAAAAAAAAAGTAGCCATGAGGGGAAGCAAAGAAATGGACCCAGAGGGAGAGTCAATGGTCATAGAATGGTAAAATAGCTCTCTAAAGGTAGGAGATGCTATCTGGATTTCATGGCATTCTATTACCTCTATGATCCCAGATATAGACAGGCTGATGGAGGAGAATCACAATTTAAAGCCATAGAAAAAAAACCAAGATCCTACCCCCTTCACAAGATAGAAGGTACATAGATACTAAGACAGGTTTGATCATTATGAAAACCAGGTTGTTTATTTTATTTTATTTTTTTTTTTGAGACAGGGTTTCTCTGTGTAGCTTTAGAGCCTATCCTGGCACTCCCCCTGTAGACCAGGCGGGCCTGGAACTCACAGAGATCCGCCTGCCTCTGCCTCCTGAGTGCTGGGATTAAAGGTGTGTGCCACCAGCACCCAGCTGAAAACCAGGTTGTTCTCAGCCCTTTCTTTCCTCCCTTCTTTTGTCTTTCCTCTTTTCCTCCTCCTCCTCCTCCTCTGCCTCCTCCTCCTCCTCCTCCTCCTCCTC